ATATATATATATATATATATACTTATATATATACATATATTTATATATGTATATTTATACATATATAAAATATGTATATATACGTGTGTGCATTTGTGTGTGTGTTTTAATGCGGCGAATGCGAATGTGAAAAAAGCCGCACTCTGCCAAACCAAGGCGTAGACTTTTTTTTGCTGTTGTTTAAAAGAGTCAGCCACACTCCACATCGACGCGAAAGTGTGTGCGAGCGGGAACTGTGTTAGCGGGGGTATTAAGTTGAATTTTTCTCACGACCCGTTTAATAATAACCGCTAAAATTGTGGAAAAACAGGAGAAAACTCCAAAGCGGAAGAAGAAAGCTGCAGCCAGTAAAATGTCTGCAGTTTATTCGCCGCAGCCGCCGCCGTCGCAGCAGCAGCCACCAGCGCAGCATCCGCCGGGATCTGTGCAGTTGCCGCCGCCGCAGGCACCGCCACAGCAACAGCAACAATCACAGCAACAGCAGCAACAACAACAACAGCCGCCTGGCAGTGGACAAGGGCCGCCAGGTGGCGTAGGAGTTGGGCCCATGGGACCGATGGGTCCGATGCAGCAACGCGTTGGCCCCGGTCCCGTTGGCAATCCAGTTGGCGGCGTCGGTGTTGGCGTCATGATGGGCACACCACCCAATCCGAATGCACAACGTGGCGGTGTGCCTACCCAGCAAGTCAACTCAGCTCAAATACAGAAGATGCTCGACGAGAATTGCGGCCTTATCCAGGCCATACAGGACTTTCAAAACATGGGGAAGTCACAGGAGTGCATGAGCTACCACGTGGCTCTGCACAGAAATCTGGTGTACTTAGCCCAGCTGGCCGAGCCTCAAATGAACTTTGCCCAAATGCTGCCTGTACGTGCAACTTTACTAACAGATTCATGAGCTAGATATAATGTCTGATTTTCCACAGCCACCGCATCTGCTGCAATCGCAGGCAATGCAACAAGGAAATCAACCGCCGGCGCCTCATAGCATGGCGGGTGTGGGTGTGCCACCACCTGGACAACAGCAGCAGGTACAAGGGCAGCAGGGTGCACCGGGACCCCCGCCGCCGGGCAGTGTGATCCAGTCGCAGATGATGCAGCATGCCGCAGAGGCTGGCGTTGGCCCCGTACAAATGCCGCCCTATCCAGGCCAACAGCCACAGCCAACGCATCCGGGCATGCCACCCAACGCCCAACAGCAATCTCAGCAACAACAACAACAACAGCAACAACAACAGCAGCAACAACAGCAGCAGCAGCAACAAGCTGGGCAAGTTCAGCAGACACCACAAGTCAGCCAGGCTGGCGGACCCCAGCCCCAGGCGGCCTATCGCAACGTCCAAGCCGGCGCTGGCCAGGCGCAGGTCGTCATCAATGCGGCGCCCAGTAAGTGTAAAGTAGCGTGTAATCAAGCCACAACAATACGAAGAAAACAACCGTCTGTCGGCTATCTGAACGAGGTGGCCAAGTGGAGATGGATTTTAAATGCTGTTTGAACTTAGCTTGTATTGATATCTTTAATGTTGAAGAATGGCAACCAATCATTATAATTTAATTTTTATATTCTCTGACTAAATTGTTATCACAAGAATTGTTCTGCTTACATTTCCGATATGCATATCCGTTAGATATAAGAAAGTTTGATCTAGGATAATTGAAGATTCTCTATCCAGATCCTTACTAATTGGGCTGAGCAATAGTTCTTAAACCGGATTTCTTCAGCTTTTCTGACCTGCGCATTTGTTTTTCCAGACCAACAACAACAGCAGCAGCAGCAGAGGCCTAACAATGGTCCACTGCCGCCTGGCCAGAATCAAGCACCGCCGCCACAACAGCAGCAACAGCCGCCCAACCAGCAGCAACAGCCGCAACAGGGGCCGGGCCTAGTGCCGCCACCGCAAGCGCAGTATCGGGTCAGCTATCAGCAGCAACAGCAGCAGCAGCAGCATGGCCACTATCCGGGCTACCCGCCGCAGTCGCAGCCGCAGTACCAGCCACAGAATGCGTATCCATATGGACCCCCTGGACAGGGCTATGGGCCGCCGCCTCCACCGCCAAATGCCCAGGCTGCGTATCATCATGCGGGCATGCCGCCAACATCGACGGCGGGCGGTGCACAGGGCGTGGTACACGCCTATCAACCGAATCAGAATGCTGGCGGTGTTGCGGCTGGTGGTCAGCAACAACAAGCACCGCCGCCGGGTGCATATCCACCGCCGCCACCAGGCCAGCAAGTGACGCCAGGGCAGCAACCACCACCGCCACCAGCCCAGATGTATGGACCGCCACCGACGGCTGGCGGACAGGCAGGACCTGCAGGTCCACCTGGCCCACCGCAAAGTGTGCTGCCCAGTCAGTATGGGCCACCCCCACCGCAGAACGCTGGTGCTGTGACGCCCGGGCCACCTCCTATGGGCTACGCGGGCTATCCGCCCAATCAGTATGGGCAGGCGGGTACGCCCGGCGGACCGCCCGGTAACTATGGACCGCCACCCACTAGCCAAGCGCAGTCTCCGTATCAGGCATACCAGCAGGCTACAGGCGCGCCTCCCGGCAGTTATCCCGGTCAACCGGTGCCTGGTCCACCAAGCGCCCAGCAGGTCAGCGTTGCGGGCACAAATGCTGGACCGCCACCGCCGCCTGCCAGCTACAGCACGGCGCCCAGCCAGACTCCTCCGCCGCCACAGCAGCAACAGTCGGCGTCCAATCAGCAGCAACAGCAGCAGGCGGGCAATCCCAATGGCCCCAATACACCGCAGTCCACGCCGCCGCCACCAAGCTCAGTAGCTGGAGTGCCGCCAAACCAGCAAGCACCTGGGGCGGGCGCAGGCCAGCAGCAGCCACAATACGCTCCGCAGCAGCAACAGCAGGTACGTTTGAATTACAAAATAGCAAGAGAAGACTAAAACTCTCTTTCACTCTCTTTCTCTCTCTCTCTTTCTCTCTCTCTCTCTCTCTTTCTCTCTCTCTGTCTCTCTTTCTCTGTATTTCAGCCGCTGCAGCAACAACAGGGGCAACCTGGTCAGCAGCTAAGCGCTGTGGTTTCTGGTGTTTCGCCATTGCCTACACAGCAGCAGTCAACCTACTCAACGCCACCTACTAGTGTGGCTGGCTATGGGGCACCGCAGCAGCAGCAACAACAACAGCAGCAGCAGCAACAACAACAACAACAGCAGCAGCAGCAACCACAGGGTGGTCCGCAACCACAACAGGGCGGTCCGCCGCCTGGAGGACCACCAAACTCGAGTGCACCACCTCAACCGAATGGGGCAACGCCGCCAATGGCACCAAATCAATATCAGCCAGCGCCTGGCTCACAGCCGTATGGGGCGCCACCGCCGCCGCCACAGGGCTATGGACCGCCGCCACCCGGAAGCGCTTATCCGGGCCATGGGTACCATCAGCCGCCGCAGGCAGGCAGCTACGCGCAGTATCCGCCGTCACAGGGTTACCAGGGCTACAGGCCAGCTCCGGCTGGTGCCCAAATGCCGCCCCCAGGCGCACCACAGGGTCCGCCACCAGCGGGTGCCTATGGTTATTATGGAAGTCAGCCACCACAGTGAGTTAGCCACACTGAATGGCAACGACCATTTTTCGCTTGGCATCAAAGATGGATAACAAAGGATGACAAGACCAGAAATACGCGCCACGCAATGTTCCTTCTCGCTCTATCGCTACTCTCTCCCTGTCTTTCACTCTTTTTCTCTGTCTCCCTCTAAACCTCTGATACTCTACAAATCGGTTTATATCTCATCGAGTGGTACTTGTCTCCTGCTTTGCGTTAGTAAAATACGCACGTGCATGCAGCAGGAATTCTAAATCATATTGAAAATACTTCTAAACGTACATAGGGTTACTTTGCATTCATAGCATTTGTAATTGAGCCAAGCGTCGAGACGCGTCCATTAGGCATATGACTACCATACGCAGCATACATACATACATATACATATTTAATTTATACAATTGTCAACTACACCTACATCTATACGACTTAATTTCTTTTCGTTTTAATGTGTGTTTCCTCCATATTATATACTATATATACTTTTTTTTGTACTCTTGAAATACTATATCTATATTTTGTGTGCGTGCCTGTGCAAGTGATTGAGTGAGTGGTTTAACGTTTCATCTTTTATCCGATTGTAAAATGTAGCGCGCATCACGCAACTAAGTAGATTTTTTAATACAATTTTACAATATACAATCAATTTACATTCAGCAAATGACAGAAGTATGAGAATAACCATGATTTAAGTAGTATTTAATGATCAAATATTCCATTACCGACAACAATAACTAAAAACAAAATTCTAAACGGACAATGCAGCAAAGCTTTATGTGTGTATGACGGAGTACGGCTGCTGCTGCTGCTGTTGTTGCCGCTGCTGCTTCTGCTGTCTTGCTCAAGCGCATTGTGGCACACGCACCTTACTCTAGTTGTATTTGTAAGCCGATAAACGATATATGTATGATATATATTACATATATCGCCATCGATAGCATTTACATAATTTGAAATCGTATTTAGGAAACTTCAAATGCATAATGAAAGCTAACAGATAAAAACAATTATTATTTAAAAATACTTACATATAATTGAAGAACAAAACAAAATGCATTCAATAAAAGCAACGAGCTGTCTAATTTGGATTTTTCTTAAGATGGGGGGAAAACTAATATGAACATACATGTATATATGTATACATATGTATGTATGTATGTATGTATGTATATACATACATATATATGTATGTAGTCATTTGAGTCATCTAGTCATTTGCGGATTAACCATATTTCTATTTACATTCAGAAGTCAGATCAGTTTATGGGCATGAGCGTGGAGTGTTTTATTTGTGAAATGGCTAAGTAGCCATTATATACATATATAAATGACTGGCGTACTTTGTAATACATTTGTTACAGATGTATAATCTAGTATGGGCTGCTGCTTACGACCATAGTTTTTTTTCTATATCGCTGGGACTTCATCACTCTCTCTCTCTCTCTCTCTCTTTCCTTCTTTCTGGTTTATCACATGTGTGCCTGCTTATCACAAAATTTCTTATTTTCGGTCTGATCTAGCTGCTTCTTCTCCTGCTCCTTCTTTTTTTCCTTTTCCTTTCCCTTTCCATTTTGTTCATCGTTCTGCTGCTCGTTGACGGCAGAATTTGCGGGGCGCCTGCTGAATCGAGTAGTCAGTTTATGCACGATCTTGCGCAATAGGTTACGCGGTATGGTCGTCTGGCGTTCCACAATGATCAACTTGGTGGCGACGCTGTGTATGGGCCCAAAGGCCAGCGCCACCACGGTGCATGCCAAGCAGATAACATTGTAGGGCATGCTGAAGTCGGGTGTGGGAAGGGACACAATGAGCGCCTCGGTGCGGAGGGTTAGCATGTATGCAGTTCGCGATGCATTGAACGAGTCTTGGAACAGATACCCCTCCAGCGGCAGAGCCGTGTAGTTGCGTCCTATGGGCAGCTGACTGCTTATAACGGCAGATCCAATGTAGTGTCCGTGATTAGCGTCCGGCGGATACTCAAGCCACTTGAGCAGCAGATAGTCAACCTCAATGGTTATAAGAGCGCTGCTCCTAGCGGGCAGCATGAAGCCAATCTCCAAGTGAGTGGGCAGTACACGTTGCTTGCCGGGCGCGTAATGCAGAAGGCTGTACTTCAGCTCGTTGGTGGTGTACTCGTACAGGTGCTGTGGCTTGCTGGAGATGCGCAAGGTGTGTAAGTAGGCGTGGACGTACCAGGGCACCAGCTCCATGAGCACCACGGGTAGTGGCTCGTAATGAGTGTTGGTCACTTCGGTGGCAATGCGTCCGTGCTTCTGACCATTGCCCAATAGGTAGCGATGCGCATAGAGCGGTGGAGGCGACATGTGTTCCCTCTTGCTATTGCCCTTGGGACCCAACCAGGCAATGTTGAAGAGCCGAGCACCTGGTCCTTCGAACTGCTGCTGTATATCGTAGACGCCAAAGAGGACGCTGTGACCACCAACTTTACTAAGCACCTCTTCCTGTGGTGGCGGAGTCAGTTGAAAGCGCTCACCCTGTTCGTTGCGCTGCACGTAGATCTTACTGCTGTTAGCCATCTCGCAGTAGCCGTTCAAGCCCATGCCGAAGAGGCGACGCAGCGAGAAGTCCGTGTTGCTCTGCTCCAACAGCTTCAGGTCATAGACTAGATTGGCCGTCTGTGTGAGCTCCACTATACAATTGTTTGGGTCGTCGCTATCGCACAATGTCCGCACCTTGACGCCCAGGGAATGGTATTTGGTATTGTGGACGTAGCCCGAGTTCAGCAGTGTAGCAAGGCCCGATGCGCTACCGCAGGGCAACAACTTCTTCCAGGGCGTCAGGTTCTCAGTGCAAACAATTTCCCGGGGCAACGTGGCATAGCGTACGAATTGTTGGCTCCGGTGGCCTGATTCCATGAACTGTGGACGAAATATGTGCTTGGGTGCAATGCTATTGGTGTTATCGACAAAGTTTAGCGAGGCACAGAGTATGCCAGAGAAGACGTTTGCCAAGCGCATCCACTGGTTGTTCACACTGTCGTCGGTCAAATTCGGTGAACTGAACCAGGCCCACAGCTCGGCACCACCGGTCGCCTCTACAATGGGATAGCCCCAGGTCTCGTAGCGCCACAGTCCCTGCGTGAGCCCTATGTGCAGCTCCCTCACATCATATGTTTGCAGTATTTCGGCAATAACGCGCGGTGTCAGCTGTGTGTGATAAACTAACGGACGGCAGTGGTTCAATGTGATCGTGGGTGCTTGCTACGTTGGGGCAGTATATTTTATTACTTACGGTTTTTGTGGACGCCGTAGTGCCAGCGTGTGGTGAATTGAAAGTATGTGTTTACATGGTCGCCGGCAAGGGGCCGCACCACCAGTTCCTCATGAAATTGTTCATCGGTTTGATACTGAAATTGGTGGATCTGAGTCTGACCCAGAGCTAGCGGCGAAAGCAGTAGCAGCAACGTTAATGTCAATTCAGCGAGCATTTAGAAGCAGCAGCAATAAATACTCATAAATACTTCTATGTAAGTATGATACAAATTAAAAATGGATGTTTATATGTTATCGATATATGAATAACTTTCATATGGTATTTATTTTTGTATTTTCCCAAATATAGTATTTTATAAATTTTATCCATCTTACATTTATTAGTATAATACTATCGATATTTATTGAAAACATATTTAAAGCATAATTTTTATTCTCCTATCGGGATTTTTAAATAAAAATTAACACTTTCAATTAATAATTGCAAAGTAACTTAATAAATATAAGTAATATGTACATAAAATTTTAATTTAAATCTTGCGGCAAAGCTTTGTTCCTATTAAAGAATATCGGTTTGACTAATATTACCTAAATGAATCCCATTTGCAATTATTATGCGGTCACATTGACAATATTAACAAATGTTACTGAATATGCGAATGAGTATTGCAAAAAATACCAAACGGGCAATAAAAACACATTTAGCTGTTGAATTTAACGAAATTTATTTATAAAAATGATTTTGATTGCATTGTGCTCTACATGCAACTAAGAAACTTACAATGTATATTAAAATATATTATTTCAGGGGCGTGGTATAGTTATTTCAGTTATTTCGCTTCTGCACATATGTATATAAAATTTAAATCGTTTTTGCAATTTCCAGGTAAAGTACGACCAACTTTGAAGAAGTATATTTCGGAGCCAGCAATTTCATTTCGATTTTCGCTTCTCACTAAGAATATTAAGATTATATAATATTAGTAAAATATAGGCATGCTTGTAATATAATTCAAATCGGGTTTAGCGCACAAATTATTTGGTCTCATCGAACTAGTCGCAGTGTGACCGCGCGATCCATTTATCGTGCGCTACGTTGGGGCACACTGCTAACTTAATGCTGTCAGTTGTTAGAGAGCCGAGCGACTGTGAAGACGTGCGTGTGTGCTCATACAGTGCTCTCAGAATTTATTTTTGGTAATTTTTTACTTCTGGTTTAAATTAATAAGTATTCAAACAACTAAATCACGATAATAAAACAAATTAACGCCGTAATAAATAATTATTAATAAATAAACAAGTAGCTTAACGTAATATTGTTTAAAAAAAAAAACATCTATGCAAATTTCAGGCCGTTATTTTTCCTACTGGCAGAGCAGCAAGCACAAATATATTTAAAAATAAATAAAATGCAATAATACATTGCCGCGCATACTGCAGCAGCTACACAAACAACAATAAAATGCTTTTGTTGTTGAATGTAATATTAAATCTATGAAACGCATTAAAAACAAATTTTATATATATATATATATATATATATAT